CCGGGCCGCAGGGTCGGAGAGCCAGGTGCCAGGCCCCCCTCTGCAGGTCTAGGGGTGAGTGGAACTAGGGTGGGGGAGGGAGCTGGATGGTCTGTGGAGACTGGGGGGCCCTTTAATCCCGACCAGCAGCTTTTGCTATCCCAGCCCTGGGCTCCCCCCCCCGCCAACTCTGCCGGTGCCCCTCAAGCCTGAGCAGCATCCCACCCCAGGGCTTCCCCACCATGGGGACCACACTGGAGGCATCAACTCAGGGGGCCACGTACAGCAGGGTGTTCCCCAGCTCTCATCTCTCCGCCTCCTTCCCGAGAGCACCTGAGGGTATCAGAGCGATGGCGGGAAATGGAACTGCTGCATGTTTCCCCTTCCCCATGGGGGCGGTTTTGGAGGGAAGGGGGGGCATTGCAGAGGGGGCAGTTATGTTATGCTTATAAGAAGCACAAGGCATCTTCTTCAGGGGAAAAGGCAATACGCTACATTTATTGGACATACAACAATTAGTATATGCATTCAATCACACATACCACCCCCCCACACACACACACACACAAACTGTCCCACCAGTCGATGTTATAGTTACCAGTCCAGAGTCCAGATCAATCTAGTGGCCAGCTAGGCTGATCAAGGGTAGGGAGGAGCCGGGTTCTGTTGGTCGCAATATGATGCTCCCGGGAAGTCTTGGCAGGACGAACCCAAAGTTTCATGGCAAAGCACCCTGTGATCTTCCTTCATTGAGACCAATGAGTTGTGTACTATCATGCTGTAATAAATCACTGTTTGATGAGTGCTTGTTTTCTTAAATTGTTCTTCTCATCCTTTATCTTGTTCTTTTATCAGTCTCTCAGGGAGTTACCCCATCCCTGTTTTGATCACAGCTCTCTTGTCCCCATTGATAGGTGCCTGCCCCATCTTTTAGCGTTGTCAATCTGCCGTCTTTTGACATTTCAATGGAGGGCGTGTTGCAATCTACTGGTGCCTTTACGTCTATCCTCAGCTCCTTCCTTAGAACATCTGGTCTGGTAATGGCCTTCACACTTATCTTCTAACACACACATTCCTCATTCACACGCAAAACAGGATTGAGTTACACAGAACATTTGAACAGGAACATCAAATTGCAGTGTAGGAGAAAACAATCATTGCATTCTTTTACTTATTTCAAAATGCTAATTTTAAACCTACAACAAAGTGGTGACCCTAAAGGCCTATTACTGCCTTGAAATCAGCTTCAGAGAAAAGATTCTGGCTGATGCATCTTTACCAATGGCACAGAGGCCATTCCTTCCTGCTTTCAGAAAGGGTGGCTGGGAGAATATCGTCAAATCATACATCAATATATTTAATGCATGCTACATTATTATTCTTTGTCCTTCATTCTAAATTATACAAAATTCAGAGTCCTGCTACTACAGTTATAGATACCCCAGGGGGAGCACATACGTGCAAACTTCTCCCCCATCCTCCAGCTGCGCTAACCCCATTGCCTCCCATGGGGCTGTGTGGACAACAGACCCCCTGGGGCTCTCAGACACTTCACAGGGCAGGGCAACCCCCCACAGATGGGGATGGAGGCTGGATCTCTCGGGGCTGGCCCCTGCCCCTCCAGCCCTGGGCAGTGGGGCCTGTCCCACCCTGCTCTGGCAGGGGGATGGTGCATGGGCCATGGGGGATCCAGGCTTAGACCCACCCAGCTCACTGCACCAGTGACCAGCCCAAGGCTGCAGAACTCCAGTCTTGCCCAGAGGGGGAACCCCCCTCTGATCGGCTGCCCTGCCCACTTGCCCCGCCTCCTGGAGAAGGGCAGTCAATTAGGAGTGCTGCAGGAGTGAGGCAGCTCCCCACTCAGGAGCGGAGAGGAGTTTTTAGGTAGGGGAGGGAAAGGGGGGAGCAGCCTTTACCATTTTCATGGAGGTGCGATGAGCCATTGTCCTGTACCATTTGCAAAGAAATGGAATGGGGAGGAGGGGAGTGGCCCTAACCCTAACCCTAACCCTAACCTCTAATTGCTGGGATCACCTCTGTGACGGGTTGGATCACAGAAACCCCCTTGGGAGCTGCCCACCCGATGTGCAAAGACTACCCCTGCTTCTGTTTTCCCTGCCAGCTCAGGACTCCAGCACCCTGTCTTACTGAGCAAGACACTCCAGTCTGCTCCAACACAGACCCAGGGTCTGAATCACTTGTCCCAAAGCTGCAAGATTACCTGAAAACAGCTCACAGAAGTGTGCTTGTCTTTAGCACTCAGCTGCCCAACTCCCAATGGGGTCTAAACCCAAATAAATCCGTTTTACCCTGTATAAAGCTTATGCAGAGTAAACTCATAAATTGTTCGCCCTCTATAACACTGATAGAGAGATATGCACAGTTGTTTGCTCCCCCAGGTATTAATACATACTCTGAGTAAATTACTAAATAAAAAGTGATTTTATTAAATACAGAAAGTAGGATTTAAGTAGTTCCAAGTAGTAACAGACAGAACAAAGTAAGTCACCAAGTAAAATAAAGTAAAATGCACAAATCTATGTCTAATCAAACTAAATACAGATAATCTCACCCTCAGAGATGCTTCAGTAAGTTTTTCTCAGACTGGACACCTTCCAGGCCTGGGCACAATTCTTTCCCCTGGTACAGCTCTTGTTGCAGCTCAGGTGATAGCTAGGGGATTCTTCATGATGGCTCCTCTCCCCTCTCTGTTCTGTTCCAACCCTTTATATATCTTTTGTATAAGGCGGGAACCCTTTGTTCCTCTGGGTTTCCACCCCCCCTCACTGGAAAAGCACCAGGTTAAAGATGGATTCCAGTTCAGGTGACATGATCACACGTCACTGCAAGACTTCATTACTCACTTGCCAGCACACACATATACAGGGAGACTCACAGGTAAACACAGTCATCTGCAGACAATGGGAGTCATCAAGATTCCAAACCCTCATTAATGGCCCACACTTTACATAATTACAATAGGCCCTCAGAGTTACATTTTATATTTCTAGTTTTAGATACAAGAGTGGTACATTTATACAAATCAGATGATCAGTAGATTATAAGCTCTGTAATGATACCTTACAAGAGACCTTTTGCATGAAGCATATCCCAGTTACGTTATATTCACTTATTACCATATTTTCTCTAAAACTATCCCAGTTACATTATATTGACTTATTATCAAGTTTTTATAAAACCATATAGACTGCACAACGTCACACCCTCCAGAGACTTTTTAAAAAATTGGTGTCACATTCACTAGCCTCCAGTCATCTGGTACAGAAGCTGATTTAAATGATAGCTTACATACCATTGTTAGTAGTTCTGCAATTTCACATTTGAGTTCCGTCAGAAGTCTTCTCCAGCTTACTTATGAGAATGTCATGTGGGACTGTGTCAAAAGCCTTGCTGAAGTCCAGGTATATTATGTCCACAGCTTTCCCCCAGCCCCCAACCAATTACCTCATCAATTTAGGAAATCAAGCTGGTTTGGCAGAATTTGTTCTTGGTAAATCCATGCTGGTGATCACCCTTTTGTCCTCACAAATTGAAGGTTTTATACATTGCTCTAGTAGCTTTCCATGTGTTGAGGTCAGGCTGACTGGTCCAGGGCCGGCTCCAGCTGTTTTGCCACCCCAAGCAGCGAAGTGAGAAGAAAAAAAAAAAAGATAAAGCCGTTCGGTGGCACTTCGGCGGCAGCTCAATCGCGCTGCTTCATTCTTCTGTGGCAATTCGGCGGCGGGTCCTTCGCTCCCTCTCTTCATCTTTGGTGGCACTTCGGTGGCAGCTCAAAGAGGAAGAGAGGGACTGAGGGACCAGCCGCCGAATTGCCGACAAAGTCCCGGATGTGCCGCCCCTTTCCATTGGCCGCCCCAAGCACCTGCTTCCTTCGCTGGTGCCTGGAGCCGGCCCTGGACTGATCTATAGTTCCCCGTCTCCTCCTTTTCCCCATTAAAGATGGCCACTCTGTTAGCCCTTCTCCCGTACTCTGGGACCTCTCCTGGTATCCATGAAATTGCAAATATTATTGCCAGTGGCTCCAAGATTTCTTCAGCACCCTGGGTTGAACAGCTTCCTGCCCCACTGATTTGAATTCAAATTGGTCAGAAGATCTCTGACGTGTTCTTTACTTATCCCGATCTGCAGCTCTTCCTCTTTGTTGTCTGTGGTAACTTCGCTGGTCGCCCGCTCACATGTTGTTTTTTTGTGGAAAGACTGAAGCAAAGCAGGCACTGATGCCTTTCGACCATCTTCTGTCACCAGCTCAGGATTTTCTGGCCAATCTCACAATTCCTGGAGAAAATCTCAGGTTTTTTTTTGCCAATTTAAGGATTTTTTTAGCTTACGATCTTTCGGGACCATCTGGTGATTTGGGGTGGGGGGGTCACTGCATTGCCAGCAGCCCCAGATCAGCACCCTGCAGAGCCCAGCAGTACTGATGGTCCCCAAGGCAGATCTGCGTCCCCAACCAGCCTCTGCTCTCACACTTCCCACCCCCCCGTCTGTCTCTAGGTCTGTCCCAGCCCAACGCCCCAGCCATGGGAAGAGCCCTGCTGCCACAGCAGGATGCCAGGGAAGGAGAGCTCCCAGCTCAGGGTCCGCCCTGGAGAGCAGGGGGTCCTGCCCTCCCTGCAGCCACACTGAGGGTCCTGATCCTCGCCCTGCTCTGGAGGGGTAAGTAAGCAGCATCTGCAGCCCCAGTGCAGGGGGAAGGTCAGAATCTGTGCTAAGCGGTGCCAGGTCTGTCCCAGGACTTGGAAGGGAGACTGGCCAGAGAGGGAGAGGAGCCCAATTCCCCAGTGTGGTGCTGGGGGGGGGGGGTGAGGGAGTGGGCAGAGGGCTCAATGTAGGGAAGGCTGGAGTGAGTAAATGGAGTGAGATTTGGTCGAGGACCCAGGGCTGGGCTCACAAGGGGCTGCAGGTTGGGAGTGAGGGGAACCGGCACAGCTGTGGGGGGAGCTCAGGGTTGGTCTCTGCTCTCTATGGGTCCCACTTCGATTCCTCTCCATCCCCTGCAGGGTCCCTGTCCCAGCTGCCCGGATTTACCCTGAGGGTGCCGCAGTCGGTGTCGGTGCAGGAGGGTCTCTGCATTCTCGTCCCCTGCACCTTCATGTACCCAACCTCATACAAAACTGACAATTCCTGGGCCCGGCTCTACAGATATTGGTACAAGGATCAGGCTGATGTGGTCTATGATCCACCCATGGCCAGCACTGACTCCAGCCGGAGGGTGCCGCAGGAGACCCAGGGCCGGTTCCAGCTGGCGGAGAATCCAGCGCACGGCGACTGCTCCCTGCAAATCAGCGACGCCCGACAGACGGATGCGGGGAGATATTTCTTTAGATTCGAGAAAGGAACGTTGAGATACAATTACCACTCCAATTCCGATGGAACTAATGTAATGCTCACGATCTCCGTGCCAGGTAAAAGATGCCGCAGTCACCGCTCAGTAGACTCCCCCCAGAGCCAGCCAGTCCCCGCCCTGGGGCTGGATTGGGGCTGTGCCCCTAGACGGGAAAGGACCCGTGTCCCCGAATTATTCTCTCCCCGTGTCTCAGGGCTGACGGAGGAGCCAGAGATCCAGATCTCACCGGCGCGGGGGCTGCCAGGGACGCTGCTGGTTGGGGAGCCAGTGACTGTGACCTGCACGTCCCCTGGGCGCTGCTCCGGGACCCCTCCCCGAGTCACCTGGACGGGGCCGTTCAGCGACACAGCCCGGGACGTCTCAGCCCAGCTGGCGAACGGCACCTGGGCGCACAGCTCCGCGCTCAGCTTCACGCCCGGCCTGGGGGACCACGGCAAAGAGCTCGTCTGCACCGTCACCTACAGCTCAGCACAGGGACCTTCCACCAGCAGAACCATCTGGCTCCACATCGTCTGTGAGTGACACACCCAGCCCCTCCACGCCGACCCCCAGCCCCATCTGCTGGGATCCCCACCCCTGGGCTCCCCAGCCCTGCCCTCCAGCCCCTTGCACAACTCAGCCCTGTGCTGGGATCCCCACCCCCGACCATGCACCCTCAGCCAATTCTACTCCAGGCCCCTTCCCTCCACACCATGCAGCCCTTTCTCTCTTGGGATCTTCACCCCTTTCTGTCCCCCTTGGCTATGGGTCCCCCCTTCCCTCTGTACCCCCAGGTCCCCAGGCCCATCTCTTCTGGGATCCTCTCTACCCCCCGACCTGCCCTGCCCCCAGAATCCTCCTGTGCTGGGATCCACCCACACCCCCATTCCAGTCCCCCCTTGCTTGGATTCCCCCCCTCACACCAGCCACCCCAGTTCCCCCTGAGATCCCCCCAGGCTGTCCCACCGTGTCTCCTCCACCCCCTCCCATTTCTGCCGGGATCAGTGGATGCTCTATATGGGGCAGAGTGTTAATGGGACCCAGTCGCTGTCCGGCACTAAACATGCTCTGAGATCGGTGCCCAGAGACCTCGGCCCGCCCTGCCCCAGGGCAAAACCCCATTAAATGGCCCATGACCCTCGTGCTGCAGATCCAGGGCAGAGGGAAAATCAGCGGCTGCCTTTGCAACGTGAAGGATCAAATCAGGTTTCACTGTAAGGACGGCCCTTGTTCCCTTCAGCCGGAGGGAGAGTTAGAAGGACACCGCCCCCTTTCCCCCTGTGTCTGAGCCCAGGCCCCAGCCTGATTCCGAACGTCTACACAGGCCTCGGAGGAAACGTCCGCGCTGCAGTCAGAGACCCGCATCCCGAGCCCTGCGAGCCCAACCCAACGGACCCAGGCTCGGGGCTTTGAGTGCAGCGTGGATGGACCCTGCCAGGCCTGGCCAGCAGGTACCAGCATCCGGCTGTTCCAGGTTTTGCTTCTAGCCACCCCTCTGGGGGCAGCTGGGCTGCAAAATACCCAGGCCTGGCCAGCCAAGCCCGGGGGCAAAAGGAGAGGGCTGGGGAGAGATGAACCGAGGGGGAAGGCAAAGGACCCATGAGGGGGGTGTCTGATGTCCCTGGTGATGGCTGGGGCTCAGCCGGAGCCGGGAGAGGGGTTATTTAGACCCCTGGTTCTGGCCCGTCCTGGGGAGGACACGTTTGGGGAGCAGGACACTGAACACCCAGCAGACGGTGGCACAGAGATAGTGACGCTCGCTCCAGTATCCAGGCCTGAGCAGCCCGGCCCCTCGTTAGTGACTCCACCAATTAGGCCCAATTTTGACCCACCGGTTTCGGTCCCTTGGGTTTCCATTTCCCACGGTTCTGGTTCCCCGGCACGGACCTAACCCGGCCCCTGGGTTCCATCGGGCACCTCTTGGGTCGGGCGCAGTAGGGTCTGTCGCTTCCCTTCCCCACCCATGGGTCTTGTGTCACTCCAGGGACTTTCCCGTCCCCCAGCTGAGCTCACAGTGATGGTCTATGTCTAGGCTCAGTGATCACTAGCGACACCCCCCACCCTGGTGCTGTCCAGCCCCCCGATCCATCTCTGTCTGGTTTGTGTTACAGACCCGCCCGGGCCCCCCAACATCACCGGGACCCTGACCAGGAACGGACGCCCCGGTGAGAGGCCACGCTGCGAGCCCCGGGAATCAGCGAGCACCTCCTAGTCACACTCTGCCCACGCTCAGGGCCAGGCGCCAGGCTCAGCCGGGCCAGGCTGGTCCGTGCCCGGAGGGGAGAGCCCAAGGAAGCTGCACGGCTGTGGGGAGAGTGGTGGGGGGAGCGGGCCTGGTTCCCTCAGTCTCCAGACCCCCAGACAGAATTAAGGGGGCGCTGGGCAATGGGGAGGAGATGGGTTATGGACTGATCTCTGCAACGGAGACCTGGTGCCATGGAAAGGCACCGAGATTGTGCGCCCACCCCAGAGCTGGCTACGTCTCCACGCTGGGTGAGGGGTCCTTGTATAAACAGCCCCTGCACCCCCCCCCCCGAGGGGGGCGGCACCCCGCTCTGGGGGGGGGGGGGGGCGGCTAACCTGCCTGATCGTCTCTTCCAGGGCCGGCCCCATTGGGAGCTGAGGGTGACATTGTGTCTCTGGAGATCCAGGAGGGCGACTCCCTGAACCTGAGCTGTGAGGCTTCGAGCAGACCCGAGGCCACCCTGAGCTGGGCCAAGGGGAACGAGTCCCTGAGCTCCAGACAGGGATGGGCTGGGCATCTGGAGCTGCCGAATCTCAGCAGAGGGGACGCTGGGGAGTATCGGTGCTGGGCAAAGAATTCCTATGGATCAGCCAGCCGGGCCCTGCATTTGCACGTGCAGTGTAAGGCGCTAGGGGGCTCCATGCCACCAGGATCAGGACAGGGGTTCAGTGCTGTGCTGCAGGGGGCTGGGTTGGGGCTCAGCAAGGGGCACTGGGGCTCAGGGGGCGGGCAGGGGATCCATGGGGGGTGCTAGGCTGCGGGGTGTGTGGGGAGTATTGGGGGGTGCTTGGCTGTGGAGCAGAGGGTCATTGGGGGGTGCTCTCCAATCTAATATGTAGCCATGGGTATTTCAGCTCTAGAGAGGACTCTGCAAATCACCGTCTCCAGAGCTAACAGGAGCGACCCCCAGCAATTCCAAGGTATCGCTAGGGGTCGGGGAGTGGGGAATGTGGCCTTTCCCCTCTAGGGGGCGCTGGCCCCGATCCGGCCCCCTGGCAGGGACTGGCTGGCTCAGGCTGTGAGTGGCTCTGTGTTATTCCTGTTCCCAGATCCCGGCACCTCGGTGGCCAATGGCTCACAGCTCACAGCCCGGGAGGGCGACTCCCTGCGGTTCTTCTGCTCTGCCGCCAGCAGCCCCCCCGCTGCGCTGCGCTGGGTGACTGTGGGCCGAGCGATTGAGGGTGCCCACCCCGCAGGGGAGAATCAGCTGCGGCTGGAGCTGCCCAACGTGACGGCCGAGGACGAGGGGCTGTACGGGTGCTGGGCCCAGAACAAGGAGAGCACTGCCCAGGGAATGTTCCAGCTTCTCGTTGAGTGTGAGTGGGGTTAACCTGTGGGACTCCCTGCCCCTGGATATTAGTGGGGTTAATCCACACAACTCCCTACCACTGGGTGTTAGTGGGGTTAACCTGCGGTACTCCCTGCCACTGGGTTTCTCTCTCTGACTATTGTCCCTGTATCTCTTGCTCTCCGCAGACAGCCCCCGGCTGGGGACCAGGCTGAACTCGTCCTGCCAGTGCCAGGGGCCCAGCGTCAGCTGCAGTTGCTCCCTGCGCTCCCACCCCCCACCCCAGCTCCAGTGGCAGGTGGACGGGAGCCCCTAGCTGGGAACGGGTCATGGGGGGCCCTGCAGGTCAGCTCGTGGGCCCAGGGGGATGAGGCCGTCAGCACCCTGAGCTGGATGGGGAGCGGGGACGGGGGCCCCCGGATCTTCTGCCTCGGCTCCAACCCGCACGGGACCTACGCCGCCCTGCACTTTGACTTCAGCCCCCCGCAGAGAGGTGAGACATTCAGATTCCTGGGTTCTGTCCCCAGGTCGGGGAGTGGAGTGGGGTCTGGAGGGGGTGGGGGGGTCTGGGAGCCAGGACTCCTGGGTTCTCTCCGAGCCGTGCCCCTGTGCTGTGTGTTTTTGCAGGTGCAGAGGAGCCTGGCAAGCTGCTGGGCGTCGGGGTGGCCTGTGGGCTGGGGGTCTCCGTTGTCTTCTTCCTTCTCAGGCTCTGTGTGATCAAGTAAGTCTAACACCTCCCCAGTTGCCCCTCCAAGATCCCACTGAGATCCCCTGCCATGTCCTCTGGGGTATTCTAGCCCTTCCCCCCCCCCCACAGTGAGATCCCCCCCAGCCCCTCTCCCTGGCCTATCACAGTCCCCTGTGCTTGAGCCTCCCCCACTCGTGTTCCCACTTTCTCCCTCTCCATGGGGCTATTCTATCCCCGCCAGTCTCATTCATCTATCCTGATCTGTTTCCCTGCAGGCTGTGGGGCCAGGATCTGGTGCCCCCCAGCGCTGAGGCCAGGGAAATGGCTAACGGGAGCCAGGACGAGCACACAGCTGACGATGGCAGCCTAATCTACATTAACGTCAACACCATCCCCATAGTATGTACCTGGGAGAGCGGGGCACCTGCCCTTCCCACCCCACCCCTTCTCTGCTCCCTCCACTTCTTCTCATTCCCACCCCCTTAACGAAAGCATGAATATAAGCCAGGCTTTCACTGGGGCTCCTGACCCCCCACCCATGCCCGGTGCAAGAAATGCACCCCTGCCACCAGCCTGGGCTCCCCGAACTGCGTGGGATCAGCTCCTGCATGCAGAAAATGCACCTCATCCCTCGGGTCTCGCTCAGAGGGGAGGACATGCAGCGAATGCAGTCATGTGCATTCACAAAGTGCACGGGACTAGATTGGGGCTGCTATGCTGCCAACCCCTGGAAATCTCCCGAATGCACCAGCTGGGCAAGAAATGCATTTATGCGGCTGCCTGCTATAGTATTAGGTGCATATGCTCAGATAATGCATGCAGGGTGCACCTTGTCTGTTGCAAATATATGCACCCTGCAGAAAATGCATCAACATGGGCTGTGCAACCATGAGATGCATGGGATCAAATCATGCATGCACAGTGCATAAAATGCGCACAGCCCCATGCATCTTGCTAATGCATGGCTGGTGCAGGCAATGCAGTGAATGCATTAACTGAACCAGTGCTGCCCCAAGCTGCCTGGGAGCAGTTCATGCATCCTCGGTGCATGAAATCCAATCAATACATTTGCTGAACCTGTTCTGCGATGAATTGCATGAGATGAAATCCTGCATGTGTAGTGCATGAAATGCACACACGACCATGCATCTTGATAATACATGGCCTATGCAGCTGAGGCAGCAAATGCATTAACCGAGCTGGTGGTGGTATGGGATCAGTTCATGTGTGTAGAGAGTGTGAAACACACCCAATCCCACGCCTCTTGCTAGTGCACGCCCGATGTAGGAAATGCATTTGCAGGGAGGGTGGGGAAAAGGAGGCCTGGGGCAGCCCATGCGATCAGCTCAGCAGGGTGGATGCAAGTCTCTGCCTGGTGTCTCTGCCTTGCTTCTCACTCAGCATCACAAGACTCCAGCCGCCCGCCGGACCAAAGGCATCCAGGACAGGGCTGCCACAGCACAGGCCCCGCTAGGCCCCAGGAAGCCAGACGAGCTGCAATATGCCTCCATCAACTTCTCCAAGCTGCAGCGGAAAGGGGGGGAGCCTCCGGAGGCCCCGGACACAGAATATTCTGAGGTCCAGCTGAAATAGCCCCCTCGCGCCATGGGCCCAGGCTGGGTGTCTCCGGCTCGTCCAGTGCGAGGGCAGGGGTCACAGTGAGGAGGGAAGGAGGCAAGGGGTCAGCCCAGGGCTGGACCCACGACATTGGAAACCTGGGTGCAAATCCCTGCTCTGCCCCAGACTCAGGGCGGAGTCAACTAGGCCTTGGAGATGCTGGAGCACTGCATTGTGGGGAGGTATCCCAGAGTCCTCTGCAGCCGGGTCTCAAAGCCTGCCCCTCCCAAACCCCACTGTCCCTAGAGGAAAGAGCCTCTCACCCCTCAGCCATAGAGCGTCTCTCTTCTACCCTGCCTGAGCCCTCACCCCCTCGTTTCACACATGGACAGGACTTTCAAGCACAGGGGCAGCAGCTGGCGGGAGACTAGCGATGGGCTTGTGTCTAAGGTGCTGGCCTGGGACTCAGGCTTCCTGGCTTCTAATCCCTGCTCCACTGAAACTGCTGTAGGTGAGGTTGGGCCAGTTGCTGCAACTGTCTGGCCTCAGTTTCCTCACCTTGAAAATTGGGATAATAATGGTGCCATGGGCTAGTTATGTTATAAATTCTTAGGGGCAGGGACTGTCTCTCGCTGTGTGTCTGCCCAGACACACCACGGGCCCTGGTCTCTGTCTAGGTCTATCAGTGCCACGTGATTAGAACTTCTTAATAACAATGATATATTGAAGGTAACATGTTCACTCCAAAGCCAAAAGCATCCGACTGTAAAATTCCCTCTTTACAAGCTGTTACTTGAAATAGATTTTCATGTGTCATTTTTTGTCACTGCTACTTTTTTAACAAAGGGCCAATAACAACTATGACTTATTTGTGTCCAGTAAAGAATCAGTTTTCACGTCTGCCGTTCCCCGGGAAGGCCCTGATTGCAGCTGGTTTCTGGGCAGGGCCGGGCATAACATGGCCCCGATCCCAGCTAGGGCAGGGCCTGTCCCCTCACTGTGCCTGGGCAGTGCCCGGCATGACGGGGCCCTGATCTCAGCTCGGGCAGGGCCAGTCTCTCGCTAGCACCCAGCTGTCACGGACTCACAGGACTCATTTTTGCTTGGCTACGTATGGCCCCTGGGAGTAACCCTCCTTCGGCGTGACACCCCCCCAGGACGGTTTCACTCTCTCTCTCTCTGGGGTTAGGCACTCTGGCAAATCCTGGGAATGCACCTCTGAGCTGGGCTGTCTCTGCCATGGGCCCCCTCAGGGAGTACCTACTCTCCGGACCCCTGGGGCCTGATAATGTGTTGGAGGAGATCGGCTTCCATTACCTCAGCTTGCCAGAACCTGCAACTACCATCACGAGAGTTCGCCAGATCCCCTCCAAGCAGCTGCATGGACTGTTGGCGAGAGGGACTTACAGGCTACCACTCACCTATCCGATGTGATGTATCCGAGTCACGGCACCAGGATGTTAGAGGGCTTATTTCTTCACCCTCTCACTTCCCTGGTCCTTCTCGCGTGAACAGAGAGCAACAATACCCAAAGTCCGAAGGAAAATTCTCAGCTATACCTTAACCAATCATTTTACTGAAATCTATCTAACCAATCCTAACATATTGTAACATAATACTCTAACCAATTCTATCCCACTACCCTAATTAACTTACACCTAGCAACATTAATTATACAGCAGACAGAAACAATTAGAGAACCAGGCAGATTAACAATAGAAAAGTGGGGGCCATAAAGATAAAACATACTGAAATGAGCATTTCACCACCACAACCATTGAGAAGTGATTTCTTGCCAGACAGGATGCTGTCAAACTAAGTTTTCTTTTATCATCTTTCTCTGGTGGTGATGGGCACTATCAGGACAGGGTTGTATTCCTAACAGCCCAATACCCCCTTATTTCAGTGTGGCTGGTTTGGGATGTGAGGATGTGACCGTTCACTTCCTGGCTTATAGCTGCCCCTGCTGCTTGGCCAAAGGCCTGAGCCTAAGAACCAGGCCTCAGACTGTCACAGTGAGAGAAGGCCCAGACACAGGCAGACTGTGATTTTGATTCTTTCTTTTATACCTCCATAACTAGCTAAATGTTAAACATATACCTCAATTCTTAAAGTATAGGCCTTTACAGACAGGCCTGAATATCTATATCCTAACACTCCACCCCTGTTTTTTTCTTTTGGGATCTTCCTGCCTAGGTATCCCTGGAAAAGCATAGGACAGATGGCGACACATTTCCTGATAGGGCCAGGCATCACGGTGGAATATGTTGATGCTCCATCTGTCCCACTGCCCCTTGTGTAGTACCATGCCCTGCACCTTCTCTGGTACGGGCATACCACACCTATTCCAATTAGTGTTGCAGACTTCCCATTAGAGTGGGTCTGAGAAGGTTGGGTCCAGGTTGCCTAGTACACTGAGGGGGAGGGCTTACTACATTACTTATAGGTTATAATTAGTGGCTGTTCTCTAGGGGGTTGTGCCCCCCTTGATCGTTTCCATATACAACGTAACACAAATAGAGTTAACAATACACCAGCTGCTATGATCATCCACAGCAACACCGAGAGTCCTGACCACTGCAGTATGGTCCAACATCCTGGCCACCACCAAGACCACTGCTTCTCCTCCTTCGACAGGGTTAAAATGTTGTCAGCGCCATCCTGTAGTGTGTATTGTAAGTGTGTCCAACTGTTGGCGCCTGCAGCAAGTTGCTCTTGTAATTTTTGTGTACCTTTGTCCGTATTGTGTGCCCATTGAATATCCACAGTGAAATCTGGTATTGTCCAAACCAGTTCAACTACTTGGTACGGCATGGGGTAGTAGGTGCTGGTTCGATTGTTTACAACGATTCAGTCCACTGATCCATTGGTGCACCATAGTCCAGGTGGCAGTGTATAGAAGTTCATAATTTGGTTGTATACTGGAAGGATTTTGCCTCCTAGTGTTATATTGCAAGATTGCATACAGTGCCAACAGAATACACCGTACCCCATATACATTACCCCTAAATCCCCCCTTTGCAATAGGCCATTGATCCTGCTCCTCCAGAGTCATAGGAGAGGGGCACATCCATAGTCCTCCTCTGGATACACAACTCCTTAATGTGATGTCAGTCTGTAAGGGTGTGGACTCACCCCTGCGGCACCTCCCGCTGGTTACTTCTGGGAATTAACTCATCCCAGCTCCGGAGCGCCCTCTGCAGGTCGGTGATCCACCTTATCGCTAGCCCCCATGTCACTCCCAGGACCCCGGTGCCCCTTTATCTGGGGGGCTGCCCCCTGGTAGTAACCCCTTTCTCTTTGGGTCTCCCCTCCCCAGGGAACCCCCACCCACTATCCCCACCTTGCCTCAGAATAAGGCCACTGCCAGTCACCACCTAGCCCCACGCCCTGGGGCAGACTGCAGTATAGGCCACTCATCACAGGCAAGGTTGGCTTTGGAGCTGCTGCCTTTGCCTACCCCTGGGCTGCCCTCTGCAACCCCCAGTACCTTTTAGCCCATTGCTAGGCCGCAGCCTGGGGCTTTCCAGGCTGGAGCTCCCCAGCTCCTCTGCCTTTCCCCGGCCCTGCTCCACTCAGGTACCCTGTCTCTAGCTCCCTGCAGCCAGGCCCTTCTCTCCTTGAATGCAGAGAGAGACTCCTTCAGCTCCTGGCTTCCTTGGCCTTTATAGGGCCTGATTGGGGCGTGGCCCCCAGCTGAGGCTGCTTCCCCCAATCAGCCCAGGTTTTCCCCTGCCACAGCCCTCTCCCAGAGCTGCTGTTAAACCTTTCAGGCCAGGAGCGGGTGACCACCCCGCTACACCGTCCAATTTACCCCATTCCACCCCCCACACACACACCTATTTCCTAGTGGCTCCCAATGCACTCCCCCTTCCCTAGTTACTCCCATAGGGTTTAAGGGGACCATCTTATTTGCATTTCCTTTACATGGTATCATAGTAACAATTACACAAGAACTGTCCCCACAGGTCAGGGATGTTATTTTCCTGGTAGATGGGTATGTTTTTGCAAGTGTGGATAAATATGAGCTAGTCTCCCGATTTAACACCGAAGGCCATTGTTCTGACCACGCATTTCTCATAATATCCATTAACATTATTAACTGAGTATTTTCAATAGCTACACATACTTCTCCCCATGTTCATCTTTTGAAGCCACCCCCCATCCATGTCACCAGGTCCCCTGCCCAATGAGTTAACTGCAAGTTTACCTTTACTGCTGTCCTCCACCTTGTGGCAACTGCCGATCTTTGATGTGCCATTCATTCATTAATTTGTTGTTGAAATCTCACATTTTGGCTTACTAATTGATTGGTTACTCACTTGTCCCCCAGATTCCATGTACCCAGCATAGTGTTCCCCACTGCCCACAATCCCCTTTTCCAACAATGATTCCAGGTGTGTCCCCTCACCCAGCAATTGAATTGTTTCAATCCTTTTATGTACATACTACAATTAGGATGAATTTGGTCCACCCACCATTCCTTGAGGGGTACCACCCATGGAATAGAGTGAAAGGACACGTTAAAAAGTGCTGGCTGCACCCGCTCCCACAATGGCTCCCATACATTTGCTCGTCGGGGAATATTCTCGGCTCTAGGCTGTGGCCACTTGAAATTTGGATTCTTCCAACTTGGCATCCATATCACCAGTAGGGTTACATTCTGTAAAATGGTTAACTAGTGTGGAAGCAGGGAAAGAAAGAGAGGGTTTAAGTGCAGCCATTTAAGTGTCAGAGACAGAACAACTGTTGAGCTAAGTCTTAGCCTAATATCGCGAGATCTGTTGAAGCAGGGCTCACGTCAGAAGTGAGTGAAAAACAGCAGACTAGTCAGTGTGACCGAGCCTTGAGATAACAATGTTTTTGAGAAGAGAAAGTGAGAAAATACTGGACTAGATAGCAAATAGTCTAAGTAAAATGTAGATGTTTTTAATTTCATGCATGTCACAAAGAGGTATAAATGCATGTGTGATGTGGCTTGTGCTTTGGAGAAACTGAGGCAGAGATGCTCTCTGCCAGTTGTATTCTTCCCCTGC